GGGGGGGGGGGGGCAGGGGGGCAAATTGCCCCGGGCCCCGAGGTGCTGGGGGCCCCTGAAAAATTTTTTGGGGGGGCCCAGTCTTTTTTCTGTGTTAAATATTTCCGCGGAAAGGACAACATATCTGTTTTATTGGGCTAAGTACCAAAATTAGGTATAGAAAAATGAGATAAAGTCCCTTGAAAGTGTGTGCAACGTACTCGTCCGGAAAATTTTTTGACCCTTAAAATGGTACACTGACCGAATTTTTTTTTTGGGGGGGGGGAGGTTGTCCGGAAAAAATCTTTTCCCGAAAATTTTTTTTTCAGAAAGGGGGCCCCGTAAAAAAAATTTGCCCCGGGCCCCCGCCAACCTCTCTGCGGCACTGGTATTGGTTGCCGTCGTCGTCGTGTTGCCGTCCTACATGCTTAAGCTCCCTAATAGCTATCGTGGCGGTCAGAAAACCAAAAACTTTGTCATACAAAATTTGTTGTAGCTACACACACGTGCAATTGACAAATAAAACTTGCCGCATGAAAACTTGTCACATAGAAAACTCGCTGTCTTCATGCTTCTGGTCTCAAAGCTCGTAATAAACAAGCTGAACTTGTGCTCTTTTCATAATAAACAAGCTGAACTTGTGCATATAATAATGATGATGATGTCCTGCCACTCCAGTATATTAAACCTCACGTATGTTGTACTAACTATAGTTTAGTCTTAGGGACCGTTCATTATTTATACCTGCATGGGGTTGGTACCGAAGAGAAGCGAAAAACAGTGTAAATTTTTTATTTACCCAACCTCAACATTGGTCAAAATAATGTTTACCCAACCCATGTGTTACTGTACTTCATAATAATTAAACACACAAGATTATGGTGACAGAAATCAAGTTGCCTAAATTCTAAAAGCACACTCAAACTCACTGAGTGTGCCAAAGCAATCACGTTCCTGCTGATCAATATGATAGAGTCCTTTCTCAATAACTGATGGTCTATTTTGGTACAGAATGTATTGTACACATTTTTCTTCATATTTTCCAATTATGCATGGTAATTTTGGTTTTATTTTATAGCTTATAGACAGCCATAAATGTTTTTACCCAACCCATGCATGAGCTAGTCAAAAACGTCATTACCCAAGCTGTATATCTTCGGTACCAACCCTGGGTGTAAATAATGAACGTTCCCTTATCATTGGCATACGCCAATGGTAGAACTCAGTGCATGCGCGGTGCAACTTGCTAGGCCAGCCCGCCTCGAAATAATGAATTCACTGCAAGTTTCAGAATACGGTGACAGAATAATAGTTTTGGAGTTGATTGAAATGCTTGAAATTTTCAGTGTTTTATCATGATATTAATGTTGAGTAGTAAGAGAAATGAAAGTTTGCCTTCAATTTTTTACGTTTTCCAAAATTACTATAAATAATTGTCCGTATTAAACGCGTCTGCATAGGAGATGTGTTCCTCCCATTCACCTTTTTATCTAACAATGAACGCATGATAATATCGGGCAATTTGTATAGGTAATCATGCGATGGCTGTACAATTGGGGATTATTAATAGTACTGGTGATCATGTTTCGCTCGCTACTCTGGTTTAAATAAATGATTACAAAGCCCAGTCGAATTGTAATCAAGACCCAACGTTTCGACACTCCAGTCTAGTGTCTTCATCAGGGGCGATCTAAAATTGCAATCGTGGCTTCTTAAATACCCAAGGGATGACGTCACCTGTCAATGAGATGCATATATTCCTCTGGCAACTAGGCACCGTCGTCATCCCTATTCAAAGCATGATTACTCATGTTTATATGCCACGCTTCTAGGCAAAGTCTTTGACCATAGCGATTGTAGGCAAAGTCTTCTAGGCAAAGTCTTCTAGGCAAAGTCTTTGATCAAAGACTTTGCCTAGAAGCGTGGCATATAAATATGAGTAATCATGCTTTGAATAGGGATGAGGGTGCCTATTTGCCAGAGGAATATATGCACCTTATTGGCAGGTGACGTCATCCCTTGGGTATTTAAGAAGCCACGATTGCAATTTTAGATCACCCCTGATGAAGACACTAGACTGGAGTGTCGAAACGTTGGGTCTTGATTACAATTCGACTGGGCTTTGTAATCATTTATTTAAATTACCAGAGTAGCGAGCGAAACATGATTGATATACCTGGTTGCAGTGAACGAACAAACTTTAAAGTACTAGTGATGTTTGGGAATTTTGCCCACCGGCAAAATTGGACGAGCCGCCGCCTAAGTACGAGCAACATCGCATGATTATTTGTTTATTATTAGCATGACAAAATTGGATAATTCTCAATGTCAACATATTCTCTCGCCAAAGCCCGGTCCTGCCAGACTTTCAACCAAAATTTGGTACTTTTGATCGTATTTTCAGTTTAGTTATTTGTAATAACGTTGGGCAAATTTTTGTCACCGCCTCCCCCCCAAAAATGTTTTGCACCCGTGCGCCTATGCAGTCTTATCAAACTCATTTTAAAATGCATATCTTGGGTTTGAAGATGCTATCTTCGGACCTTGTTCTGTTATCTACTGTAACCTTACAGTACTGTACTGTACTGTACTGTACTGTACTGTACTGTACTGTACTGTACTGTACTGTACTGTACTCAGCGCCTTAACTGGACGCGATAATTGGGGAGGGGGACGAGGGGTGTATATTCATATATTCGTGTTCACATACCGTAAAAGCAATCGCTTTCAAAAGAAATCCGTCGGGCAGAACACGAATATATGAATA